GGTGCATGAGCTATCCAGAGAACAATGGAGAGACAGAGAGGATGAGAGAGAACATGCCCTGGTGGGGCATGGTCATACCATAATGCCTTCTCCTCCATTTCTCCATCCTGTTAGGATTTGGGGTAGCACACAAGTGTCTGGTGTATTTTTGTCAAGCCCTGGACCAGGATTTGAGTCATGGTTAGCTATATAGACTAGAGCTACCGTAACAACTAGGCTACAGGGACTGCCAAGGACTTTCAGTAGCTGATTCTTTTGCAGATTATGGGCACCTCCCAACAGATGGTCCATACAGTACCTGCTTCTTGCATGGAGTTCCCAGGTACAGAATTTCCCTCGGGGGCGGGTGGGTGGTGGTGGTGATTTTGAGTAGCCCAGCGCAGACCGCCTCCTCAGTTGCTTTCCTCAGTGAACCTCAAAGTTATTTCTATGGCTCCTCACAGCAACCTGGGTGTCAGGGAAGGAAGAGGGAGGAGCTGCCTTTCTGAAAGCTGTGTCCGTTTCAGTTACTATGCTGGCTGGTAGCTGCAGCAGCTCAATAAAGTCTTTATGAACTGATCGTTCCTAGGTTGGGCCTGGGCCTATAACACTTTAAACCACAAGTACTAACATTCATAGCAGCAGCTACTTCAGAAGGTGGAATGGGAAAAGCTCACTGAACTTTGAGACGTGGGGCCCAGGCTGGCACGACGCAGTGAGCAGGGTCCAGTCTGACAGGCCATGGCTTATTGATGATGGGGGAGGAGCAATACTCCCAGCACCCAGCCAGGGAGGGGACCTCAGCTTGGAGACGCTGGTGCTGAACAGGCAATGGGAGTTTTTGTTTTTCTTTTCTTTCTTTTTTTTTTTTTGGCCATAGGGCTTGTGTACTCCTGGGAGAGAGACACAGAGAGTGAAAGTGAGAAATCGCCTCCCAGGGGATGGCAATCCCTTCTCCTCCATTCTCCTCTCGGGACTTCGGGTATACATACACCCATTCCCAGTGGGAATTTTAAGCTGCTGGGTCCGGGTCTCACACCACAGAGTCAGCCATGTGGGATCCAGCACCTTAACAGTACACCATTTGCTGGCCCAGAATGACCATCATTTGACTGAGAGTGGACAGGGATGCTCTGCCCAATGGGCCAAACTACATATGGTGGTGACGGACATGCAGGTTACCTCCACGACCATATCTTGCCATGTTTCTTTCTAGCTCATGGGCCATTGCCAGTAGCCTAGTTAATCGGGAAGGAAAATGGTAAGTGAATAACTGAACTGTTAATGGATTCTTGCATGAGCACAAGGACTTTGGAAACATCATGCTGCCTGGAAGGGACAAATACATGTCTTGTGGACTCTAGGACTACTATAGCCACATTTTTTTTTTAAGAGAGATTTTGATCTATAGAATGTATGCGGTTGCTAGAGAGACAGAGAGACAGAAAGTGAGAAATCATCCCCAGGCGGGTGGCCACATCACAATCCTTTCTCCATTCTCCTCTTGAGATTTTGGGCACACACATGCATGCACGCACACATACCCAGTATGAGTGTTAAGCCTCTGGGTCCAGGACTTGAACCGTAGTTGGCCATGTGGAACCATTATGACATTTGCTGGTCCCCCATTGCTCCTCTTGAGAGGCATGATTGTGACATGGGTCTCAAAGCAGGTATTGTACAGAATAGTAAACATTCTTCACCAAACAATATGACAATGGGTGCATTCTCATGGAATATGATGGACTGTCTGTGCATCCTGTCATCTGCGGGCCAACAGAGTCATTGAATGATGAGATAGCTGCCTCACTCAGCAACTAAAGGAAGGACTCAGGATGGTCTGCTAGTGGGGCAGTACCCTCACATGACTATTGCAGTATGGACACTAAACACCACACACCAATGCCAGGGAAACACAGCCCTGGTATGTGTTGCAAATCACTGTGTTGAGAAATCACTGAGCTTGCTGAAAGTGGAGGCAGACCAGGAGCTGATTAGACTGTGCCTGTGAAATCCCAATTTCAGTGTTCCCAACCACTGTTTTCCCCTTCCTCTTCCTTTAAAAAAATTTATTAATGCCTTATCTTTATTTTATTTATTTTCAAGCCATTGGGTCCAAAACTGCAACTATACATTTGGCCATTTGGGGTCCAGTACCTTAACCACCATACCACCTGCTGACCCTCTCTTTTCCCTTTTTTTTTTTTAGAAAGATTTTTGCTATAGGCTGCCTGTGCTCACCGGAGAGACAGAGAAAGACACAGAGACAGCAAGAAATCACCTCCTGTGGGGGTGACCACACCACAATCCCTTCTCCTCTAGTCTCCTCTAGGGATCTTGGGCATGCACACACATGTGCCTGGCATGAGTTTTAAGCTGCTGGGTCTGGGACTCAAACCACGGTTGACTATGTGGGAGTCCAGTGATGTAACCATTACACCATCTGCTGGTTCCTCCCTTTTCCCTTTTAAGTGCACATCCTGGGGTGGTTTTCAGTTCAGGTTACCCAATACGGGGCCCCCCCTGACTCTACTGGGAGGTGATGCTTCTCCCAGGTATATTCCTGTATGGTATCCCACAGGCATGAGACGCAGAACTAAGGCATACCAGGGCACTAGGATCCATCTAGTGGTTCTGGGGTCATCTGATCCTTCTAGCGGGTGGGTGACATTATTAGACACATCGAGTTTGTCTAGGATATGATCTTTCCTGGCCTGGACAACCAAAGCCAAAGGTCTAGATCATGCTAAAGTAGTAGGCATGGGGCAGGGACAGCCAGATGTGGTTACACCAACTCAGCTCAACCCCTACTCAGTAGGTAGGAAATACCTATGACCCCAAGGAGGGTAGGGAATAGGGCAATAATTTGTCAGTCTGCATTTTCCCCAAGGATGTGGCAGTAGAATCCTGGAAACATAATGCTTTCATTAGCTCTCCCGAGCTGTATCCACCACAGGTAATCTGATGAAGTGTAGGATCTGCCATTCTGGACCTTATTCTTTTATTTTTCTTTGGAGAGGTTTTTTTGGTATAGGGCACATGCACTTATCAGAAAGAGAGAGATAGAGAGACAGAAAGTGAGAAATCATCCCCTGGGGGGATGGTCACGCTGCAATCCCTTCTCCATTCTCCTCTCGGGATCTTGGGCACGCACGCTCGCACGTGCACCCGGTGCGAGTTTAAGCCACTGGGTTAAACTGGGACTTGAACTGCAGTCAACTCTATGGGAGTCCAGTGACATAGCCATTATGCCAACTGCTGCTCCCTGGACCTTATTCTTAATTGACCAGAGTGACACGTGAGTGGTATTCTATACCAGCATTCCCAATGCCACAGTGTGCACGCACAGAGCCCAAACCCTGGCTTACCAAGTGAAGATCTGGCACCGGTACATAGAAGGGTGCTGGGCATGCCCTGTTTTAAGCTAACTGGCTTCTGTGACAAAATGTCACAACAACCAACAAAACCTTAGTAGGATGGTGCTTTGATCTCATAGAGGAAAAGGGTCAAAGTGGCAATGACGAAAACTGGACAAACACTAGTGCAGGGGCTTCATGAACAGTACTGTGTGGGGGAAATAGCACGTAGACCTACGGCCTCTGCGGGATTTGGCTGGTGAACACTATTGGCTCCATATCTGTGAATTAGTCACTGAACAGGAAAACAAGGGAAGGAGTGTTATGTCCTTTATGAGATTGCTGGTAGCATACATGGGATCAGTGCTCATGAAAAGATAAGCAATCTGTCCCTGACCAAGGCAAATATGAGTGCTGTCACTGCCTTGGCAGCCCAGCAGACACCCTTCAGCTCCTTCAGGAAGATTGTTTTAGACAACAGAGTCGCTCCAGATTTTCTTTGAGCCCAGCTGGGAGTGTGTGTGATTGTCTACATCTCCTGCTGAGTCTGGATAAACACCTGTCGTCCTAGAGACACAGGTGGAGAACATCTGGAAGCAGGCCCACTGGCTCCAGACAGAGGGTCCACCTGCAAGGTCCTCTTTTTAGATCTTTTCAGCAGCCTTGTACCTGGATTGTGGAATTTGGGCTAGGCCACTACTCTGGGCAGGTCTGACCATCCTGCTGTGGTAGCAGTCCTCCTGGACCTAGTGAAACGTGCTCTGGCTCTGGTTCAGATGCACTGAGCTCGTCAATCAAGGTGGGCTCGCTTTGCTCAGGAGGTATCTGGATCTGGGATGGACTGCAGGCAGTTCTTTGGGTGACCGTAGGCCAACCTCATTCTTCCCCCTTTCTAACTTGTAATTTTCAAGAATAATGATAGAATGTGGTGGGAATCCTTTTCAGATAAGGAAACTGGATTCAGAGGCTTAATTATTTATCTTTTTTTTTTTTTTAATTAAGGTTTTTGCCAGAGGGTGTGCACTCTCCAGGGAGAGAGTGAAAGTGAGAAATCGCCCCTCAGCGGGAATGACCACACCTGCTACTTCTTCTCCATTCTCCTCTTGGGATTTTTGGGCACACATCCACACACATCTGGCATTATTTTCAAGCCACTGGGCCTGGGACCCCTAATTGTCCCTGCTCAGCCAGGTGGGAGACCAGTGCCTTAACCACGCCATCCGCTGGCCCAATAGGTATCCTGCTAAAGACCACAAAGCTATTGTATTAAAGACCAGAGTCACTCTAGAACTCAGGTCTGACTCCATAATATAAACTCCTGCTCTGGAAGCAGCTCCGAGTACCCCTACCTCTAGGAAATAGGTTTTGTAAGAGTCTGAAGGGTGAAGGAGGGATTGGGACCATGTTTCTCCAAGGATTATCTGAGTTACAAGCACCTGGAATACTTTTTCAATATCTAGATTTGGGGACCTGTGTCTCGCTAACCCTTTGTTTTCAGTGGTCTCTGTATCTCTATTTCCACACCACGCTGGGTTGCAGGGTTAGTCATTAGCTTTTTATTTCGGCAGTCTTTCCAACGATCAGAACTCAAGTCAGAGGCTAGGAGACTGTTGCGGTGCCCAGCCTATCGGAGTAGTGCGAAGGGCTCCGCCCACGACTGCGTCCTCACACGGCGAGGAGACTCTAAGCCCGACTCGCGAAGCTTCCGAACCCAGTTGCCATTTTTCTGCCCAGTGGGGATGACGGCGACAGTGACCCTGGAGCCCGCGGGCCTCTGTGCCTGGGACGAGCCGGTGCGCATCGCGGCGCGCGGCCTTGCGCCCCGACAGCCGGT